CCCCCAGCCCCCCCAGCGTGTGTGTGGCTCACGTGTGTGAGCGCATGGATGCCGAGCAGGTGTGGCTGTGGCCGGGCACGTGTGTGTGCGGGTCCGTGGATGGGCACGTGTGTGTGCAAGGATGTGCCAGGACATCGGGGTGCCCCCCCCGGACCCTCGGGGTGCCCCTCCCGGACCCTCGGGGTGCCCCCCAGGCTCCTGGCAGCTCCCTCGATCCCTGATTTTTGTGGTCGTTGTCCCCTTTGTCTCGCCCAGGTCTTTTGATTCTTCTGGATTTTGGGGTGAGGGTCCCACCCAGACCCTTGGGCACGTCCCTGGATCCCTAAATTTTGTAATCAAGGTCTACCCAGACCCCTAGACCCTCCCCATAACCCCTGGATTTTGGGGTGAGGGTCCCACCCAGACCCTTGGGCACGTCCCTGGATCCCTAAATTTTGTAATCAAGGTCTACCCAGACCCCTAGACCCTCCCCATAACTCCTGGATTTTGGGGTGAGGGTCCTACCCAGACATCTGGTTTCCCCTGGACACCCGAATTTTGGGGTGAGGATCCCCCTAAACCCCTGGATCCCTAAATTTTTTGAAGATCAACCCAGAACCTTCCCCTGAACTTCTGGATTATGGGGTGAGGGTCCCACCCAGACCCCTGGATAACCCATTGGATCCCTAAATTTTGTAGTGAAAGGCTACCCAGACCTCTAGACCCTCCTCTAAACTCCTGGATTTTGGGGTGAGGGTCCCCTCAGACCCCTGGACCCCTGAATTTTGGGATGAAGGTCACCCCCAGACCCCTGGACCCCTGAATCTTGGGGTGAGGGTCATCTCCAGACCCCTGGATCCCTGAATTTTGTGATTATCTACCCAGAACCCTCCCCATAACTCCTGGATTTTGGGGTGAGGGTCCCACCCACACATCTGGGTTCCCCTGGACCCCTGAATTTTGGGATGAGGGTCATCCCCAGACCCCTTCCCCCTCCTCAAGACCCTTCTGTCCCCCCATCCTGGGCACCTGAGTTCCTCCCAGACCGCTGAATTTCGGGGTGAGAGCTCCCCCCCAGACCTCTGAGTCCCCCCTGAACCCCTGAATTTTGGGGTGGGGGTTCCTTCCCTGACCTCTGGGTCCCCCAGATGGGTTCTCATGAACCCTGGCGTGGGGGGCGGGGCTGCCCAGATGTGCACATCTGTGTGGCACACACATGTGCCCACACGTGCCCCAGGCTTTGCTGCTGCCGTTCCTTCCTTCCCGGGAAGGATTTTTTGTGTTTTTCCCCCCCAAATGCTGACCCCAAACTCCACGTGGGCCAGGCTGGAGGAGAAGCTTCTGCGACACCTCCGTGCTGGTGTCACACTCAGGGGGGTTGGAGCCCACCTTGGAGCCCCCCCAAGTCCCCATCACTGCTGCTCCTGAGAGCTCCTGAGAGCAGGAAAGCCCCGCAGGGAATTAAACTCTTAATTACACTCATTAATGAGCCCTGCTGGGGAGGGAATCCCGGGGGAGCTCCTGCAGAAAATGGGGGTCTGGGGGTGCAGGGTGGGAGTGACAGGACTGGGGTCCCCCAAACCCTCAGCTCCCACCCCTCACACAGGTGGAAATCCTCACGCCCCCTCTCTGTGCCCCCCTGGCCACAGGAAGGTGACAAAGGTGACAAAGGACACTCCAGCCATGCCCAGGGCAGGATGCTCCGTATCGGGGAGTGGCACTTAATCAATCACATCTCAAATCTTTAATTATATCACCCGGGGCCTTGGATGTGCCTCAGCCGGAGAAATTCCCCCCCTTTGTCCCTCGGAAGTGGAAAGGGGGAGGGTGGGAGAGGGGAGCATCCCGTGGGGGGCTCCGAGACCCCCCAAAATCGAGGCTCACAGCTCAGGGGCTGTGCTGGCACTCACTGCACCCCCCTCCTCAGCGGGGCTGGGGGGTCTCCATCCCCGCTGGGTCCACCCCGCCGCCCCCTCCTCCTTTGTTGGGCACTAATGGCCGCTCTCCATATGCACGGCAGCATCTGTTCCTGCCAGCGAGATTTGCATGGCTAAATGTAAATTGGGTGTTTTATCATTTATCATAAACGGGAGGGGGGGGCGGCCAAGCCCGGCCAAGTTGTCACCGGCAATCACACGGCTCATCCTTCGCCCCGCCACCTGCCCTGGGTGGGGAGGGACAGCGAGGCCGCCTGGGGACATCGGGGTGGGCTCAGCACTCCCCCAGAATCACCCCTGAGGTGAGAGGGTGATGCGGGTGATGGATTTGGTGTCCGGCTTTCCGCTGCCTCCCCCGCTGGCCGTGTCCCCGGGATGTCCCCACCCGTCCCGTCCCTCCCAGCCCGGCCGCAGCGCCTCCCTCGCCTCCTGCCCACCCCTCCATCCTCGGCCGGACCTCGGAGCGCGGCGCAGCGATCCCACCCTGGCCATGAAGGGTCCCCTGAGCGGAGGGATGTTCTCCCGGCATGTCAAACGGCACCCCGGAGTGAGTCACGGAGCCCCCCTTTCCTCCAGGGACCCCCCAATCCCTCCCCTGCGCTCTCCTTCTCCTCCCCTCGCAGCCCCCAGCCCTCAGGTTTGTCCTTGCCCACCACGTGCCTGGAGCCCCTGGCCTTCCTCACATCCTTCTGCCATCATCCCACTCCCCATTCCTCCTGTTCTGTGTCCTTCCTCAGCCTCCTCTTCCTCCCTGTTCCCAAAACCCTCCTCATCCCCCCAAATCCTGCATTGTTCCCCCTTCCCGCTGTCCCTCTGCTCTCCCAGCCCCCTCCGGCTGATCCGGGGGTCCTGAGGAGCCCCCTCTGTCCTTCAGCAAGGACAGGTGAGACCACCCGGTTCTCCCCACCCCTTTCCCTCCGTCCAGCGCTGCCGAGGGGCCGGGGCTCCTTCCCCGAGCCCGGCTGGGGCACCTCAGCTCTTACCCAAGCCCCAACAGCTGAGGGGGCAAAGGGACCCTCCCCGTGTCCCTCCCCACCCTGTCTGGGGACTTCTTTGTCAGGGAGGATGGAAATGAAGCCCCCTCCCCACTCACCCCAGATCTGTCCTCGTCAGCCCTCAAAATGTCAAACTGCGGGCTTTGGGTAAAAACCCCTCAAACTGAGGGGTTTGTGTGGTTTTGGGTAAAAAATGCCTCAACCCCCAGGCTGGGCACTGCCAGGGGGTGCCAGCACCGTGGGCACGGGTGGCTGGGACCCCCAGGGTGCTTCCCACATCCTTGGATGAGGCTCCTGCGTGATCCTCCCTGCAGAACAGGGAAATTTGGGGTATTTCTGTCCCTGCCACCCTTTCCCCCCCTGAGGAGCCTTGAGGGATTTGGGGGGCACAAAGAAAACCCCAAACTGGAGCTGTAAAGGCACGGAGAGTCCTGGTTGCCTGCACCCAGCAATTTCTGGGTGCCACCCGCTCCACGCTCCATCCATCCGTCTGTCCGTCCGTCCGTCCGTCCATCCCCCGCTGCCAGCCAGGTGTAGCCGGCCGGCAATGGCTCCTCAGCGTGCCCGGCTGCCTGGCAGTGACGGGTGGCACCGCGGCCGTGAGTCACCGGCAGAGCTGGCACCGCCAGAACCCGCTGGCACGGCTCGGCGGGCACCGGAGCGGGCACCGGAGCTGGCACCGGGGCAGAGCCTGGCACGGCGCCGCGCCTGGGGGAAATCGGGCTCCACCGCTGGCACCTGCGGCTTGGCAGCCTCGCCCTGCCCCTAATTGCTGCCAGCCATTAATTACCCAGCCGCTGTCGGCAGCAGATGGTGAGACGGCCCCGCTGCCCCGAATCGTCTCCGGCAGCCACAGCAATTCCCGGCGCTGCGGAGAGTTCTGGATTCGCCAGCGCTCGGGCAGGGCTGCTGCCAGCTCCTGCTGGCACTCGGTGCCCATCAGCTGCTGATGGCCCTGACACCCCGCATGGGGCTGGCATCCGTCACTCCAGCCTGGTTTGGGCACTGCCGGGTGGGAACTGGGCCGTACTGGGAGCACTGGGAGAGGCTGGGCGCGGGGGCACATCTGTGTTTCCCTTTCCCCACGCGTGGCAGCGAACAGATGGGTGGGACTGAGCCTTTCCATCACATTCTCCAGCTATGCCCGGTGTTGGCCCAGTGGGGAAACTGAGTCACGGAGCGGTGGGCATTCATTTTGGGGATGTTTTCTCCGAGTTGCGAGCAGAGCCAGGTGCTGCCGGTGCAGCTCTGTGGGCAGCGCTGTCATTAATGGGCAGGACGCGGCTCCCTCCCGGGGGCACGGGGCTGGCACCACTCTCATTTCACTCACAGGAGCTGGGCCATACTGGGAGCCATACTGGGAGCACTGGGAGAGGCTGGGCACGGGGGCACATCTGTTTTTCCCCCTTTCCCCACGCGTGGCAGCGAACAGATGGGTGGGACTGAGCCTTTCCATCACATTCTCCAGCTATGCCCGGTGTTGGCCCAGTGGGGAAACTGAGTCACGGAGCGGTGGGCATTCATTTTGGGGATGTTTTCTCCGAGTTGCGAGCAGAGCCAGGTGCTGCCGGTGCAGCTCTGTGGGCAGCGCTGTCATTAATGGGCAGGACGCGGCTCCCTCCCGGGGGCACGGGGCTGGCACCACTCTCATTTCACTCACAGGAGCTGGGCCATACTGGGAGCCATACTGGGAGCACTGGGAGAGGCTGGGCACGGGGGCACATCTGTTTTTCCCCCTTTCCCCACGCGTGGCAGCGAACAGATGGGTGGGACTGAGCCTTTCCATCACATTCTCCAGCTATGCCCCCCCCCGCCCAGTGTCATCCCAGTGGGGAAACTGAGTCACGGAGCATTTCGGGGGCATTTTCTCCGAGCTGCAGCTGCCGAGCTGCGGGCAGAGCCAGGTGCTGCCGGTGCAGCTCTGTGGGCAGCGCTCCCGTTAATGGGCAGGACGCGGCTCCCTCCCGGGGGCACGGGGCTGGTACCACTCTCATTTCACTCCAGGAGCTGGGCCATACTGGGAGCCATACTGGGAGCCATACTGGGAGAGGCTGGCCAGGGGGATACCTCTGTTTTTCCCCCTTCCCTACGCGTGGATGTGCTCGGCAGCAAACAGATGGGTCGGACTGAGCCTTTCCATCACATTCTCCAGCTATGCCCCCCCCGCCCAGTGTCATCCCAGTGGGGAAACTGAGTCACGGAGCGGTGGGCGTTCATTTTGGGGATGTTTTCTCCGAGCAGAGCCAGGTGCTGCCGGTGCAGCTCTGTGGGCAGCGCTGTCATTAATGGGCAGGACGCGGTTCCCTCCCAGGGGCACGGGGCTGGCGCCGCTCTCATTTCGCTCCCCGCGTCCTGGCCGCGGCAATTTGGGGGAGGTCAAAGCCTCCTCGGCTCGGCTCCGATTGAGGCCGCGTCGCTCCGGGCACTGGGGGATTGGCAGAGAGAGCGGAGATGAGGAGATGGAGCCGAGGTGCGCAGGGAGCCGCCGTGGGCACGGAGCGGGGGGTGAGGGGACACGCTGGCAGGATGAGGGTGGGGGTCACTGAGTGCCCCCCAGGACCCGCTTTGGACTCCCAGTGTGTCCCAGTCCATCCCAGTAAAAGGAACAGAAGCTCCTTGTCTCGTGCTCCATCAGGAATGGTGCAGAGGGGAGCAGAGCTGGGGGGGCTGTGGGGGGACAGGGACCCTGTCTGGGGTCACAGCTCGGGGACAGACCGTACCCAGGGCTGAGTGTCTCAGGGGGGAACCATGAGGCAAGGCTCAGCCCTGACTGGAGTCACTGGGAGCACTGGGAATGCTGGAAATAGAGTGTTCAGCACCAAATCCTCCAGGGAAGAAGCATAAACAGAGGTTTGCTCCGACCAGGGGCACTGGGAGCACTGGGAATGCTGGAAATGGGGTGTTCAGCACCAAATCCTTCAGGGAAGAACCATAAACTGAGGTTTGCTCTGTGCAGGGGCACTGGGAGCACTGGGAATGGGGTGCCCAGCTCCAAATCCTTCAGGGAGGAGCCACAAAGCGAGGCTCAGCCCCGAGCAGGTCACTGGGAGCACTGGGAACACTGGAAATGGGGTGTTCAGCACCAAATCCTCCAGGGAAGAACCATAAACCCAGGTTTGATCTGACCAGGGGCACTGGGAGCACTGGGAATGCTGGAAATGGGGTGTTCAACTCCAGATCCTTCAGGGAAGAAGCATAAACTGAGGTTTGCTCTGTGCAGGGGCACTGGGAGCACTGGGAATGGGGTGCCCAGGACCAAATCCTTCAGGGAGGAGCCATAAATTGAGGCTCAGCCCTGACTGGAGTCACTGGGAGCACTGGGAGCACTGGAAATGGGGTGCCCAGGTCCAAATCCTTCAGGAAGGAGCCACAAAGCGAGGCTCAGCCCCGAGCAGAGTCACTGGGAGCACTGGGAATGCTGGGAATGGGCTCCCCAGCTCCCCAGCAGTGCCAGCGCTGGGCAGCCACAGGCGGAGGGGAGGTGATTTCTCATTCCAAATCCAATTCCTCTCCAGCACGAGCCGATTTTTCTCTCCCTCTTTTAATTCAGTCACTCAAGCTGACAGCTACACTGTGTACCACAGCCCAGCTACAGGATTGCTCTGCCATATTCCCCCTGTAAATCTCCCGGCGTGTCAGCTCTCCCTTTCACTCTCCAGTCCGCCTGATAAATATTCATTTTATTGGGGTATTTTTCATTTTTCTCACTCTCTCTCTCTCTCTCTCTCTGCAGCTCGTTCCCCTCATTGGCTTCATCAGTGTGGGCCTGGGCAGTGCAGTCCTGTACCTGCTGCGGTTGGCACTGTACAGCCCAGATGTCAGGTATGCCATGGGGGCACCTGTGGGGCACCTCTGGGGGTCACCCCACACCCCCAGAGCACAGGGGGGTCAGCCCAGGGCTGGCAGCAGGTGCTTGCACACCCAGACACAACTTCACAGTGAATGATGGGGGGAAATGTGGGTCCAGAGGCGCCTGGCACAGCTGGCACTGCACAGCCCAGATGTAAGGTACACCTTGGGGGCACCCCTGGGGGTTACCCCATACCCCCAGAGCATGGGGGGCTCAGCCCAGGGCTGGCAGCAGGTGCTGGCACGCCCAGACACAGCTCCATGGTGAATGATGGGGGGAAATGTGGGTCCAGAGGCGCCTGGCACAGCTGGCACTGCACAGCCCAGATGTCAGGTACACCTTGGGGGCACCCCTGGAGCACCCCTGGGGGTCACCCCACACCCCCAGAGCACAGGAGGCTCAGCCCAGGGCTGGCAGCAGGTGCTGGCACGCCCAGACACAGCTCCATGGTGAATGATGGGGGGAAATGTGGGTCCAGATGTGCCCAGGAAAGCTGGGGGTGAATCCTCTCTCCTTGGTTTGGGGGGGTCGAAGGAGGAGCCCTCCAGGTCTCTTAGTCAGGTAAGAGATGGATGTGGCTGATGGGCAAGGGGAGAGGGTGTGGGACTGAGGGGGGGATGGATGGATGGATGGATGGATGGGGATGATGGATGGAAGATGGATGATGGATGGATGATAGATGATGGAATGATGGATGGATGGATGGATGGATGGACAGATGTAAACAGGGCTGTGGGATCACAATGGATGGATGGTGAGCACATCCTGGGGTGACCAGGCTGGTTTTCCCACATCTCCCCACCTCATTTGTCATTGTTTCCTCCCCCTAAAACCACTCCTGGGTTTCATCTGGCACCAGATGAGCTCAGCTCCACAATTATCACATCCAGACACCTCAGCCTCTAGGGTGGGAGAGCGGGGGGGGTTTTGGGAGGGAACAACACCCCCCATCCCATCCCCCAAACCCATTCGACAGCTCCCGGGGCGTTGTGTTTGCAGCACAGCCCCCCCTCCCTCCCCCAATTCACACACAAACATCTTCCCAGATGGAAAATTCTGCTCTTGGCCAGCACCAGTGAAGGGGGGGTGGGGGATGGAAGAAGGAAGAAGGGGGGGCACCACGAGCTGCTGTCCCCAGGGACCCCATCCCACGGCTCTGCTGCCTCCCACAGCCCCTCCCGGGCCAGGACGGGACGTGGCCAGCTTGGAAAGGCTTCAAGGACAACTGGGGACAGTGCTGGTGGGGCTGGGGGCACTCTGGGGGGCTCCAATAGGGTGTGGGGGAGGGGGGGGTCTCTCCCGCTTTGATGTCCCTGTCACCCCTCACAGCTGGGACCGGAAGAATAATCCTGAGCCCTGGAACAAGCTGAGCCCCACAGACCAGTACAAAGTGAGCACTGGGTGAACTGGGAGGGCTGGGAGTGTTTGGGGAGGGGGAGGCAGCCACTTTTAATGCAAAACACTCAGGGTGGGGGAAGGGGGAGAGCAGAGCCCCCCTAAACGCTCGAATTTGGGGAAGGGGTACTGTGTGCCACCGAGGCCAGGCTACAGTGACACTGGACAGGCTGCAGTGACACTGGGGGTGGCAGCAAACTGGATCCTTTAGGGTTTCCCAAAGCCCAGGGGCAGCAAACTGGATCCTTTAGGGTTTCCCAGAACCCAGGGGCAGCAAACTGGATCCTTTAGGGTTTCCCAGTTTCCCAAAGCCCAGGGGCAGCAAACTGGATCCTTTAGGGTTTCCCAAAGCCCAGGGGCAGCAAACTGGATCCTTTAGGGTTTCCCAGAACCCAGGGGCAGCAAACTTGATCCTTTAGGGTTTCCTAGGGCCGAGGGGCAGCAAACTGGATCCTTTAGGGTTTCCCAAAGCCCAGGGGCAGCAAACTGGATCCTTTAGGGTTTCCCAGAACCCAGGGGCAGCAAACTGGATCCTTTAGGGTTTCCCAGAACCCAGGGGCAGCAAACTGGATCCTTTAGGGTTTCCCAAAGCCCAGGGGCAGCAAACTGGATCCTTTAGGGTTTCCCAAGGTGCTGGCAGTGTTTGTGGGTCAGGCAGCCACTTTTAGGGCAAAACAGAAATGGGAAAGGGGGATCAGCCCTGTAGCAGAGCCCCCCAAGTGTTTGTGCTCGAATTTGGGGAAGGGGCACTGGACAGGAGGCCACGACCCACCCTGACCTCCCTCCCTCCCTCCCTTCTCCAGTTTCTGGCAGTTTCCACCGACTACAAGAACCTCAAAAAGGAGCGGCCCAGCTTCTGAGCCACCTCTGGGACGTGCTGGGGTGGAGGGGGAGCCCCCCACAGCCCCCGAGCTCCACCACAGCTCCCCCAGCACCCCCAAACCGCGTGCTCGTGTCCCACCCCCCAATAAAGCACATCCCTGGGGGTGCCCCCTCACCCTCACCTCGTGCCTGCATGAAACTCAGCACTGGAATAAATTATGGGGTGGGAGTGGGGGCAGCAAACTGGAACCGTGATGGAACCCCAAAACCTGGGAGGAGGCAGCAAACTGGATCTTTTAGAGTTTCCCAAAACCTGGGGACAGCAAACTGGATCCTTTGGGGTTTTCCAGAGTCTGGGGGCAGCAAACTGGATCCTTTGGGGTTTTCTAGGGGCTTGGAGGGGGGGACAGCACTGGATTCTTTATGGAATCCAAGAACGTGGAAGGGGGCACAGCAAACTGGATCTTTTATGGTTTCCCAGAGCCTGGGGTGGGGGGAGCAGCAAACTGGATCCTTTAGGGTTTCCCAGGGCGTGGGAGGGATCCTTTAGGATTTTCCAGTCTGGGGGAAGGGCAGCACTGGATCCTTTAGAGTTTCCCAGGACCTGGACAGGGGGCAAACTGGATCTTTAAGGGTTTTCCAGAGCACTGGGGCAGCAAACTGGATCCTTGATTGTTTTCCCAAAACCTGGGAACAGTAAACTGGATCCTTTAGGGTTTTCCAGTCTGGGGGAGGGGCAGCACTGGATCCTTTAGTTTCCCAGAACCTGGACGGGGGGCAAACTGGATCTTTCAGGGTTTTCCAGAGCCCTGGGGCAGCAAACTGGATCCTTGATGGTTTTCCCAAAACCTGGGAACAGTAAACTGGATCCTTTAGGGTTTCCCAGAGCATGGGAGGGGATAGCACTGGACTCTTTATGGAATCCCAGAACCTGGAAGGGGGTGGTCAGCAAACTGGATCTTTTATGGTTTCCCAGAACCTGGGGACAAGGGGAGGCAACAAACTGGATTGTTTATGGTTTCCCAGAACCTGGGGGCAGCAAAATGGATCCTTTATGGTTTCCTAGAACCTGGGGACAAGGGGGGGCAACAAACTGGATCCTTTAGGGCTTCCCAGAGCCTGGGAGCAGCAAACTGGATCCTTTAGGGTTTTCCAGTCTGGGGGTAGCAGCAAACTGGATCCTTTAGGGTTTCCCATAGTCTGGGGGCAGCAAACTGGATCCTTTAGGGTTTTCCAGTCTGGGGGTAGCAGCAAACTGGATCCTTTAGGGTTTCCCATAGTCTGGGGGCAGCAAACTGGATCCTTTAGGGTTTTCCAGTCTGGGGGGAGCAGCAAACTGGATCCTTTAGGGTTTTCCAGTCTGGGGGGAGCAGCAAACTGGATCCTTTAGGGTTTTCCAGTCTGGGGGGAGCAGCAAACTGGATCCTTTAGGGTTTTCCAGTCTGGGGGGAGCAGCAAACTGGATCCTTTAGGGTTTTCCAGTCTGGGGGGAGCAGCAAACTGGATCCTTTAGGGTTTTCCAGTCTGGGGGGAGCAGCAAACTGGATCCTTTAGGGTTTTCCAGTCTGGGGGGAGCAGCAAACTGGATCCTTTAGGGTTTTCCAGTCTGGGGGGAGCAGCAAACTGGATCCTTTAGGGTTTTCCAGTCTGGGGGGAGCAGCAAACTGGATCCTTTAGGGTTTTCCAGTCTGGGGGGAGCAGCAAACTGGATCCTTTAGGGTTTTCCAGTCTGGGGGGAGCAGCAAACTGGATCCTTTAGGGTTTTCCAGTCTGGGGGGAGCAGCAAACTGGATCCTTTAGGGTTTTCCAGTCTGGGGGGAGCAGCAAACTGGATCCTTTAGGGTTTTCCAGTCTGGGGGGAGCAGCAAACTGGATCCTTTAGGGTTTTCCAGTCTGGGGGGAGCAGCAAACTGGATCCTTTAGGGTTTTCCAGTCTGGGGGGAGCAGCAAACTGGATCCTTTAGGGTTTTCCAGTCTGGGGGGAGCAGCAAACTGGATCCTTTAGGGTTTTCCAGTCTGGGGGGAGCAGCAAACTGGATCCTTTAGGGTTTTCCAGTCTGGGGGGAGCAGCAAACTGGATCCTTTAGGGTTTTCCAGTCTGGGGGGAGCAGCAAACTGGATCCTTTAGGGTTTTCCAGTCTGGGGGGAGCAGCAAACTGGATCCTTTAGGGTTTTCCAGTCTGGGGGGAGCAGCAAACTGGATCCTTTAGGGTTTTCCAGTCTGGGGGGAGCAGCAAACTGGATCCTTTAGGGTTTTCCAGTCTGGGGGGAGCAGCAAACTGGATCCTTTAGGGTTTCCCAGAGTCTGGGGGCAGCAAACTGGATCCTTTAGGGTTTTCCAGTCTGGGGGGAGCAGCAAACTGGATCCTTTAGGGTTTTCCAGAGCCTGGGGAGGGGACAGCACTGGATCCCTGATGGCTTCCCAGAGCCATTAACACGGGAGATGTCCTCACCCCCCCGGGGGGGGCTCACATCCCGCTGGAAGCAGGACAAACCCTGGGGCGCCGTTTCCGCTCTCTCACGCTCCAGGGTCCCCTCCCCGGCCCCTCTGGGGAGGGCAGGAGCTGGGAGGGGTGCAGGGGTCACACCCACACGTGGGAGGGATGTCCTGGATGCTCCTGCACCCTCTGGAGTACGTGACATGGGACAGAGCCCGGCTGGGCATCAGGAAGAGGAGGGGGAGGGTCCCCAGGCTGTCCCCCCACTGTACCCCACACCTTCCAGGGCTCAGCATCACCCCCCTGCCCTCAGAGCATCAGGAAAAGGAGGGGGAGGGTCCCCAGGCTGTCCCCCCACTGTACCCCACACCTTCCAGGGCTCAGCATCACCCCCCTGCCCTCAGAGCCCACTGCAGGGGTCACACCCACACGTGGGAGGGATGTCCTGGATGCTCCTGCACCCTCTGGAGTACGTGACATGGGACAGAGCCCGGCTGGGCATCAGGAAGAGGAGGGGGAGGGTCCCCAGGCTGTCCCCCCACTGTACCCCACGTTCCAGGGCTCAGCATCACCCTCAGAGCCCACTGGGGAAGCACCAGCATGGGGACACTGAGGCACGAGAGCCTCGGAGCTCCTGGCACGGCACTGAGGGGCTCCAGGGACCGCTCCCCAACGCCCCCCTGCCCCCCAGCACAGCACCCACACAGCTCCAAAGCTCTGCCCCCACTTTTATTAGCAACCCCTCCCCGTAGAAAAGTGCAAGATGAGGCTGGAGCAAGCAGTGCCCCCCTCCCCAAGCAGGGTCTGGGGGGTCTCTGTACCCTAACACTGATAGCAGGATGGGCCCCCTCCCCAGGGACACGGCACCCAAAGGTGACCACGGGGGGACAAGGGCAGGGGGAAAGGCAGAGGGTGGGTCTGAGCCTCTCTGTGACCCCCCCAGAGTGAGCCCAGCCTGGCAGGAGGCTGAATGCTGGAGCAAGCAGTGCCCCCCACCCCAAGCAGGGTCTGGGGGGTTCTCTGCACCCTGACAGCAGGATGGGCCCCCCACCCCAGGAATGCAGGAAAGAAAAGGAGGGGGAAAGGCAGAGGGTGGGTCTGAGCCTCTCTGTGACCCCCCCAGAGTGAGCCCAGCCTGGCAGGAGGGCTGTGCCCCCCTCAGTGGTCGCTGAAGCCGGGCATGGGGAAGGCACGGGCGAAGGTCTCCACGCGCTGCCGCAGGTCGCTCAGGCGCCGCTGCGTCTCTGGGTCCTGCAGCAGGAAAGTCTTGAAGTCCTGGAGCTTACCTGGGGGTGGAGGGGCACAGGTGAGCCCCAGGGCAGCTCCAGCCCCCCCGCCCAGGGGCTGGCAGCGGGCTGGGCAGCAGGGCTGGCAGCTCAAGGGGCTGAGGGGCAGCCAGGAAAGGGGAAATGGGGGACAGGGACCCCCGTGGCTCACTGGTTTTGCCACCTGGTCTGGGCAGCAGGGCTGGCAGCACAAGGGGAGAAGGGCTGAGGGGCACTCAGGAAGGGGGAAATGGGGGTACAGGGCCCCCCCGTGGCTCACTGGTTTTGCTCTTGACGTCCAAGGCCAGGGCGATGCCCTCGTCGATGAACTCCACGACCTTCCGGAAATCCTCCTCGCGGAAGTGGCGGGAGGTCAGCGCGGGGGCACCTGGGGACAGAGCCCATCAGGGACAGCAGTGCTGGGGGGGCACCTGGCCCTCAAGGGGTGCCCTGGGTCCCAGCCATCCAAGGGGCTCTCAGGGTCCCAGCCCCACAAGGTGGTCCCTCAGTCCCAGCCCCTCACTGGGGTTCCCTCGTTCCCAGACCCCCAAGGGGCTCCCTCACTCCCAGCCATCCAAGGGGCTCTCAGGGTCCCAGACCCCCAAGGGGTTCCCTGGGTCCCAGACCCCCAAGGAGCTCCCTCATTCCCAGGCCCTCACTGGTGTTCCCTCATTCCAAGACCCCCAAGAGGTTCCTTGGGTCCCAGCCCCCCAGGGAACTCCCTCATTCCCAGCCCCCCAAGGGGCTCCCTCATTCCCAGCCCCCCAAGGGGTTCCCTCATTCCCAGCCCCCCACCGAGCTCCCCCATTCCCCGCCCCCCCCCAAGCTCCCTCTCATTCCCAGCCCCCCAAGGGGTTCCCTCATTCCCAGCCCCCCACGGATCTCCCTCATTCCCAGCCCCTCAAGGATCTCCCTCATTCCCAGCCCCCCAGGGAACTCCCTCATTCCCAGCCCCCCAAGGGGTTCCCTCATTCCCAGCCCCCCCCCAGGGAACTCCCTCATTCCCAGCCCCCCAAGGTGCTCCCTCATTCCCAGCCCCCCAAGGGGTTCCCTCATTCCCAGCCCCCCCCCAGGGAACTCCCTCATTCCCAGCCCCCCAAGGTGCTCCCTCATTTCCAGCCCCCCAAGGTGCTCCCTCATTCCCACCCAAGGGGCTCCCTAGGTCCAAACCCCTCACCGTGCCTCCCCAAGGGACTCCCCAAATTCTACTCCCCACAGGGTCCTGCCCCTTTTCCCAGCCAAACCCATCTCCAAATTCCCACTAAACAGAGAAGGGTGAAACAGAGCGGGGCTGCTGTGGGGTGGGGACCCCGGGCAGGGCCTGTCCCTCACCGAGGCGCAGCCCCCCGGGTGTCAGGGCACTCCTGTCCCCTGGGCACGTGTTCTTGTTGGCCGTGATGGAGACGAGCTCCAGCACCCGCTCCGCCCGCGCCCCGTCGATGCCCTTGGGCCGCAGGTCCACCAGCACCAGGTGGTTGTCAGTGCCACCTGGGGAGCAAAGGAGAGGGGTGAGGGTCCCTGAGCACCCCCAGACCCCTCTGCTGTGCCTTTCCTGCTCTGCCTGTTCTGCCTCATCCCCACTCCTGTGGCCCCCAGTCCTCCTGCACACCCCACTGCTGCCCTGAGACCGAGCAGGGCCACTTGTCCCCACCACGGCTCACTCCTCCCTGTCCCCAAAACTGTGTGGTCAGAGCATCACCTGACAACAGGGTGTACCTGGCCCCCACCATGGCTCACCCCTCCTTGTCCCCAGCACAGCTCACCCCTCCTTGTCCCCAAAACAGCAGGGCCAGAGCATCACCTCACACCAGGGCATGCCTTGTCCCCAAAACAGTGGGGACAGAGCATCACCTGACACCAGAGTGTACCTTGTCCCCACCACAGCTCCAAAACCCCTCCTTGTCTCCAAAACCAGCAGGATTGGATCATCACCTGACACCAGGGTGTACCTCATCCCCACCATGGCTCTCCCCTCCTTGTCCCCAAAACCAGCAGGGGTAGAGCATCACCTGACACCAGAGTGTACTTTGTCCTCAACACAGCTCACCCTTCCTTGTCCCCACCACAGCTCACCCCTCCTTGTCCCCAAAACTGTGGGGCCAGAGCATCACCTGACACCAGGGTGTACCTCATCCCCACCATGGCTCTCCCCTCCTTGTCCCCAAAACCAGCAGGGACAGAGCCTCACTTGACACCAGGGTGTACCTGATCCCCACCATGGCTCTCCCCTCCTTGTCCCCATCACACCTCACCTTTCCTTGTCCCCAAAAGAGTGGGGACAGAGCATTACCTGACACCAGGGCATGCCTTGTCCCCAAATCAGTTGGGGACAGAGCATCACCTGACACCAGGATGTACCTGGTCCCCACCATGGCTCTCTCCTCCTTGTCCCCAGCACAGTTCACCCCTCCTTGTCCCCAAACCAGCAGGGCCAGAGCCTCACCTGACACCAGGGTGTACCTGGTCCCCCCCATGGCTCTCCCCTCCTTGTCCCCACCACCGTTCACCCCTCCTTGTCCCCAAACCAGCAGGGCCATCATGTAATATAATATAATATAATATCATATGATATAACACCATATAACACCATACAATACCATACATTATCATATCACAGAACACCAAATGAGCCCCGAGGCACAGGGACTGCAGCTCTCTCTGCCCCCGAGCAGCGCTCACCCTCCGCATGCGGCCGTAGTCGATGAGGCGCGCGTAGGCGCTGGTGCCCGCGATCACCAGGCGCGGGCGGAACAGCCGCGCCGTCACCTCCAGCTGCGCGTAGTCAATCAGGCCGGTGGCGGGCTGCGACGGACAGACGGATGGACAGGCGGGCCAGTCAGCACGGGGACGGACAGACAGACGGACAGATGGACGGACAGGCGCGTCAGTCAGCACGGGGATGGACAGACAGACAGGTGGGCCAGTCAGCACAGGGATGGACAGACAGATGGACAGATGGACGGACAGGCGGGTCAGTCAGCACGGGGACGGACAGACAGACGGACAGATGGACGGACAGGCGCGTCAGTCAGCACGGGGATGGACAGACAGACAGGTGGGCCAGTCAGCACAGGGATGGACAGACAGATGGACAGATGGACGGACAGGCGGGTCAGTCAGCACGGGGACGGACAGACAGACGGACAGATGGACGGACAGGCGCGTCAGTCAGCACGGGGATGGACAGACAGACAGATGGGTCAGTCAGCCCAGGGAGAGACAGACAGACAGACAGATCAGTCAGTCCAGGGAGAGACAGACAGGCAGGTCAAGGCGGGCCAGTCAGCACGGGGATGGACAGACAGACGGATGGATGGATGGACGGACAGGCGGGTCAGTCAGCAGGGGGATGGACAGACAGACGGACGGACAGGCGCGTCAGTCAGCCCAAGGACGGACAGACAGACAGATGGACAGACAGGCAGGTCAGTCCAGGGATGGAGAGACAGATTGGTCAGCCCAGGGACACCCTGGGGCCACCCTGGGGACACCTCGGGGACACTCAGGGGACACCCTGGGAATATCTCAGGGACACCCTGGGGACACCCTGGGGACACCTCGGGGACACCCTGGGGACACCTTGGGGACACCTTGGGGACACCCAGGGGACACCCTGGGAATATCTCAGGGACACCCTGGGAATATCTCAGGGACACCCTGGGAACACCCTGGGGACACCTCAGACCCTCCCTGCCCTCAGCTCACATCAAGCTTGTAGGGCATGGACTCGAAGAAGATGGAGGTGGCCGAGATCCTCTTGGTGTCGGTCATGTAACCGTGGGTGAGGCTGCGGGGGAGGCACAGGGTGAGGATAAAATGTTCCCAAAATCACGGCATGTTCAGGATACTCAGGGGGCTGGAAAGAAAGGCTGGGCCTGGGAAAATGTTATTTACTGGATGATGCAAAACTGTATAATCAGTTAATGATAAACGGTATGATTGATAAATGATATGATTGATAAATGCCATGATTGTTTGGTAATTAGATGTGGTTCCCCACATCCCCTCACCCCAAATCCCCCACGCCTGGTTCCCCACCCCAAATCCCCAAACCCCACGTTCACCCCCCCCAACCCCCACGTACTGGCCCCCGTCGGGCAGGTCCAGCCCCATCAGGCGCTCGTGGGGCCGCAGCAGGGCCGTGTAGGCGGCGAAGTTGGCCGGGGAGCCCGAGTAGGGCTGCACGTTGACGCCCCAGCGCGCGGGGTCCAGGCCGAACGCCTCCAGCGCCCGCCGCTCGCACAGCAGCTCGATCTCATCCACCACCTCGGCCCCCCCGTAGTACCTGGGGACAGCCCCGAAAAACGCTCTGAAAATACCTTCTGAAAAAAAAAAATAAATCCTCTTTGCCCAGGGTTCTTCTCCCGGGGAGATGAGGAGGCTCGGAGAGAAATTAAAATTCAAAATGATCTGAGTGTTTCTCCTGTGGTTTGTTGCTTTGGGATGTGGTCTGGAGAGCGTTTACCAACAGGTGAATGTTTGATTGGGTCCATGTGAGTTGGTTTTTTCTTAATGACCAATCCCCATCAGCTATGTCAGACTCCGAGGAGTCAGTCACGAGTTTTTATTATTCGTTCTTGTTCAGCTTTCTGATGTATCCTTTTTCTATAGTTTAGTATAGCTTTAGCACAGCATTCTACATTTGAAATAATTTATCTTAATATGTTAAATTATATATTATTAATGTATAAAAATATACTATAATATACTATACTATATTACAATATAATATAGTATAATATACTATAACATAATAATAATAATAATAATAATAATAATAATAATAATAATAATAAAATAAATCAGCCTTCTAAGAACATGGAGTCAGATTCATCTCTCCCCTTGTCTTGGAGACCCCCACACATGGGGTCACCAAGGGGTCCCTGCTGCCAGCCTGACCCCAAGGGAGATTGGCACAGAGGGCAGCCCCCAGTGATGCCTCAGGTTTTAGATTTTCTATGTGTTTTCAGATTCTGTGCTGGCTTGGTGTGATGTCTCAGGTTTTAGTTTTTCTGTTTCAGATTCTGTGCTGGCTTAATGTGATGTCTCAGGTTTTAGTTTTTCTACTTTTCAGATTCTGTGCTGGTTTAGGCTGTGGTTCTGAGATTCATGGTAAATACCTCAGGTTTTAGTTTTTATATGTTTCAGGTTCTGTGCTGGTTTAGGCTGTGGGTCTGGGTTTTATGTTAGGGGATGGTGAGCTCTCTTCACAGAGCAGGGAGACAAAACAATTCCTGCTCTAGCTGGGGACCAAGGACAAATGATCCAAATCTCAGCCCCAAGAGCACAAACAGCGTGGGATGAAGACAGAAAAACAAGCAGGATGGGACCTCACAACCTAAAGGTGTAATTGGACAATTAACTCCAATATGCAAATGGAACAGAACTTATAAAAAGTGAGAGACCTTGTGACCAGGCATCCATTTTTGTGCCCATTTTGGGTTCATTTCGGGTTAACTTTGTGACTGTTTTGGGCTCGTTCATTTTGTGACCGTTTTGGGTTCATTTTGTGACCATTTTGGGTTCATTTCAGGTTAATTTTGTGATAATTTTGGGTTCATCTTGGGTTCACCTAGTGACCATTTTGGGTTAATTTCGGGTTCATTTTGTGATCATTTTGGGTTATCTTGGGTTCGTTTTGTGACTGTTTTGGGTTCATTTCAGGTTAATTTTGTGGTAATTTTGGGCTCATCTTGGGACCATTTTGGGTTCATTTTGTGATCATTTTGGGTTCATCATGGGCTCATTTTGTGACCATTTTGGGTTCATTTTGTGACCGTTTTGGGTTCATTTCGGGTTCGTTTTGTGACCATTTTGGGTTCATTTCGGGTTAATTTTGTGACTGTTCTGGGCTCGTTCATTTTGTGACTGTTTTGGGTTCATGTTGTGACCATCTTGGGTTCATCTTGGGTTCATTTTGTGACCATTTTGGGTTCATTTCGGGTTCGTTTTGTGACCATTTTGGGTTCACCTTGGGTGTAGCCCTGGCTGGGCTCTCGTGCTGCCCAAGGTGGATCTGTTGAGGCCTCCTGATCAATCCCTATTTATTCCTTAGCTCCGTCCCAGGACAACCTCCACACTGGGGAGCCCCCAGTCCTTCCCTGGGGCTCCCTGGATGTCTCCTGCAGCTGAACCCCAGTGCCCCCCAGCCCACTCCCCACTTTACCTCTTCCCAGGATACCCCTCTGAGTATTTGTTGTTGAGGCAGGAGCCCAGGGCTTCCAGCGCTGCCCGGCTGCAGAAATTCTGGGGGGACAAAGGTGGATGGGAATCAGAGCAGCCAAAACCCCCTAAACCACCAAAACCCCCTAAACCCCTGGGGGTCCCCCGGGCCTGACCCCATCCCTGCACAATCCCCCCTAAACAGGGGTCCCCCAGGCCTGACCCCACCCCTGCCCAATCCCCCCCAAACAGGGATCCCCGAATCCCAATCCCACCCCTGCCCAAACCCCCCTAAATAGAGATCCCCCAATCCCACCCCTGCCCAATCCCCCCTAAACAGAGATCCCCCAGGTCAGGTTGGGGGGGGGGGGACAGGCTGTGAGCCCTGGGGACCCTGCAGCCCCTGCGGGTGACACTGGCAGGTGTAACACTGCCATGATTCGTGTCCTGTCACTGGTGTCACCCTGCAAGGTGTGGGGACCCCAAGGGGCACACGGGGAGCCCCCCCAGCCCCACGAGGGTGTATGGGGACCCCAAGGGGCACACGGGGACTCCTCCATGGTGTCCCCAAAGAACATGAGGACCCCACAAGCCACATGGGAAGCCCCCCCAGCTCCACAGAGGGTGCATGGGGACCCCAAGAGGCACTTGGGGACACCCCCAGCTCCACACAGGGTGCATGGGGACACCAAGGGGCACATGGGGACCCCCAGGCGCCCACAGGGCATATGGGGACCCCAAGGGGCACATGGGGAGCCCCCCAGCTCCACGAGGGTGCATGGGGACCCCAAGGGGTACATGGGGCACATGGGGAGCCCCCCAACGCCACAGAGGGTGTATGGGGACACCAAGGGGCACATGGGGACCCCCAGGCGCCCACAGGGCATATGGGGACCCCAAGGGGCACACAGAACACATGGGGACACCCCCAGCTCCACATAGGGTGCATGGGGACCCCAAGGGGCACACAGGACACATGGGGACCCCCCCAAGCCCCACACAGGGGGACCCCAAGGGGCACACGGGGCACATGGGGAGCCCCCCCAAGCCCCACACAGGGTGCATGGGGACCCCAAGGGGCACACGGGGACTCCTCCATGGTGTCCCCAAAGAACATGAGGACCCCACAAGCCACATGGGAAGCCCCCCCAGCTCCACAGAGGGTGCATGGGGACCCCAAGGGGCACAGAGGACACATGGGGACCCCAAGGACCCGACGGGGCACATGGGGATCCCCTCCAAGCTCCATACAGGGCACGTGAGGACCCCACAGAGCACATGGAGACTCCTCCGTGGTCCCCCCAGAGTACATGGGGACCCCACGAGCCACATGGGGACCTCCAAAGACCCCACAGGATATATGGGGACCCCCCTCAAAGTCCTTACAAAGCATGCAAGGATCCCCAAAACCTCTTGGGGATCCCCCCAAGGGTCCCATAAAGGACATGGGCACCTCCAAGGACCCCACAGGGCACATGGGGACCCCACGAGCCCCATGGGGACCTCCAAAGACCCCACAGGGTACATAAAGACCCCCTCAAAGTCCTCAAAAAGCATGCAAGGACCCCCAAAACCTCTTGGGGATCCCCCCAAGGGTCCCATAAAGTACATGGGCACCTCCAAGAACCCCACAGGGCACATGGGGACCCCCATAAAGTCCTCACAAAGTACACAAGGACCCCCCAAAACCACTTGGGGATCCTCCCAAGGGCCCCACAAGGCACAGGGGACCTCCAAAAATCCCACAGGGTACATGAAGACCCCCTTAAAAGTCCTCAAAAAGCACACAGGGACCCTGAAAACACTTGGGGATCCCCCCAAGGGCCCCACAAGGAACATGAAGACCACCAAAGACCCCACAGGGCACAGGAAGACCCCCTCAAACTCCTCAAAAAGCACACAAGGACCCCCCCCAAACCTCTTGGGGATCCTCCCAAGGGTCCCACAAGGCACAGGGGACCTCCAAAGACCCCACAGGGTACATGAAGACCCCCTCAAACTCCTCAAAAAGCACATAGGGACCCCCAAAACCCCACAAGGCACAGCTGGATTCTCACCCACGGGACCCCCCCCTCGCTGTACTCGGTGGTTACGGGGGGATCCCGCCCGTGCACAGCCGGGGGTGCCCCCGGTGCCCCCCGGTGCCGGGTGATGTAACCGCGGCCGCCCCATTGCATCACCCGGGGCCGCGGGCACCGGGCAGGGGCCAAGGCCGGTGGCGGGGCCGGTCCCGGCCCCGCGGGGACTTTGGGACGGACACAAAGTCCGCAGGGTCCCCCATTTCTAATTTTGGTCCCCTGTCCCTGCACTTCCCATTCCTAATTTTGGGGTCCCCTATCCTTAATTTTGGTCCCCTGTCCCTGCACCCCCCATCCCTAATTTTGGGGTCCTTGCACCCCCATCCCTAATTTTAATCCCCCATCCCTGCACCCCCCATCCTTAATTTTGGGGTCTCCCGTCCTTGCATCCCGCCATCCCTAATCCTGTGGTCCCTGATCCCTGCGCTCCACATCCCTAATTTTGGGGTCCCCCATCCCTGTTCCCCTCCATCCCGAATTTTGGCGTCCCCCACCCTTGCACCCCCATCCCTAATTTTGGGGTCCTTGCGCCCCCCATTTCTAATTTTGGTCCCCTATCCCTGCGCTCCCCATCCTTAATTTTGGGGTCCCCATCCCTAATTTTGGGGTCCCCCATCCTTGCAACCCCATTCCTAATTTTGGGTCCCTTATTCTTGCACCCTCCATCTCTAATTTTGGGGTCCTTGCACCCCCATCCCTAATTTTGGGGTTCCCTATCCTTGCACCCCCCGCATCCCGAATTTTGGGGTCCCGCCCCCTCTCTCTCCCCCCACCCCCGCTCGGGGCGGGACCAACACACTCCTTTTTATTTTCCCAGGCTTTTCTTTATTTTCCACTTTTTTTCCATTTTCATTTTCTTTGGGGTCTCAGTGGGTGGGGGCAGTGCTGCAAGGATGGGGTGTCAGTGGGGGAGGGGGCTGGGGCCCCCAAAAACAGGTGTATCCCGGGGGTGGGTCTCAGGGGGTGAAGGGGACCCCCAGAAGAGGAATACCCCAATGATGGTCTCAGGGGACCCCCAAAAACTGCTGTACCCCAGAATGGGGGGCTACAATGATGGGTTTCAGGGGGTGGAGTGGACCCCCAGAACAGGTGTACCCCAATGATGGGTCTCAGGGTAGGGAGGGGACACCAGGAAGAGGTGGGGTCTCAATGGGGGACCCCCAGAATAGGTGAACCCCAGAATGGGGGTCTGCAGTGATGGGTCTCAAGGGGTGGAGCAGACCCCCAGAACAAGTGTACCCCAATGATGGATGTCAATGGGGGGACCCCCAGAATGGGCGTACCCCAATGATGGGTCTCAGGGGGTGGAGAGGACCCCCAGACCAGGTGTACCCCAATGATGGGTCTCGGGGGGTGGAGGGGACCCCCACACCAGGTGTACCCCAATGATGGGTCTCGGGGGGTGGAGGGGACCCCCAGACCAGGTGTACCCCAATGATGGGTCTCAGGGGGTGGAGAGGACCCCCACACCAGGTGTACCCCAATGATGGGTCTCAGGGGGTGGAGAGGACCCCCACACCAGGTGTACCCCAATGATGGGTCTCTGTGTGGGGGTCCAGGACCCCCAGCACCGGCTCTACCCCAGTATGGGCTCCTCAGTGTTGGGGTCTCAGTGGGTGGGTGGCACCCCCAGAACTGGGTGGGTGGCACCCCCAGAACTGGCTGTACCCCGTTGTGCTGCAGGGATGGGATGTCATTTTGGGGTTGGGGGGGAAACCTGCAACTCCCCAAGCCAACTCAATCCCAGTGATGGGATGGCATTGGGTGGGCTCCAGGACCCCCAGCACCGGCCATCCCACCACCCAGCAGAGAGCAATGAAGAGGAGGCTGCTGTGGGGGTGACAGGGGACCCCGAGTGCCACCAACACCCCCCCTCGTCCCCCACCCACCCCCTTCCCCACTGCCGTCAGCCGAAGTAGGGATTGTCGTGCTGGAAGTTGTAGTCGGGACAGACCTTCTGCACCAGCTTGTAGTCGATGCTGAGGAAGGAGATGAAGATGCAGATGACCTTGAAGGGCTTGGCGCAGAGCCAGGCCGCGTGGCTCTGCGTGTGCTCCGTGAAGCACACCTTGGACGGGTCGTAGAGGCACGGTTTGTTCTTCCGCGCCCGGTTCGTCTTCTCGTACTCCACGTGGCAATTGAGCGCCTTGGCCGGGCGCCCCTCGGGCAGGGTGCTCTGCTGGGGAGGGGGCGGTGGTCGCGGCAGTGCTGGGGGGCCGGGCACCAGCACCTCGAAGCCCACCGCCTTGGAAGGGGGCACGATGCTGACGGAGACGTTGCCCAGGCTGGAGGAGTTGTGTCGGAAGTAGACGCTGAAGGTGCCGTTGATGTGGTCAACGATCTTGCCCGTCACCAGGAGGCTGAATTTGAGCGTTTTGATGTTGAAGTAGAAGTCTCCCCAACCGAAAATCTTCTTGGTGCGGCTGGATTTGAGGGTGGGCTTGCGGTGGGAGCGGGGGCTCAGCAGCTCCCCGGCCGTCTGGTTCTTCTGCCAGTCCCAGGGGCTGCGGCCGGTGCCCGCCAGTGTCCCCGCGCCCCGGGGGGGCTCTGCCGGGATCAGCCGCCCGGGGTCGAGCACCGGGGGCTTCAGGGTGCCGTAGGGGACGTCCTTGAGGAGGCCGGAGGTGCCCATCTCCAGGTAGCCCAGGGTCTTGGAGATGTGACCGCCAGCGCACACCGTCTGGGGAGAGAGGGCAGAGTGCGTGAGCGGCGCCTGCGCCCTTCCTCGGCCCCGTGCCGCACCCTCCTCATCCTCCTACCTGCAGCCCCCTCCTCATCATCCTACCTACAGTCCCGTCCTCATCCTGTCTACAGCCCCCTCCTCATCCTCCTGTCTACAGCTCCCTCCTCATCCTCTCACCTGAACCCTCCTCATCGTCCTTCCTGCACCCTCCTCATCCTCCTACCTACAGCCCCCTCCTCATCATCCTGTCTACAGCCCCCTCCTCACCCTCCTGTTTACAGCTCCCTCCTCACCCTCCTGTCTGCAGCTCCCTCCTCATCCTCCTGTCTACAGCCCCCTCCTCATCATCCCGCCTGAACCCTCCTCCTCCCTCTGCTTGCACCCTCCTCATCCTCTACCTACTCCTCCCTCCTGATCCCTCTACCTGCACCCTCCTCATCCTCCTGCATGCATCCTGCTCATCCTCTTTCCTGCACCCTCCTCATCCTCCTACCTACAGCCCCTTCTTCATCCCTCTGCCTGCACCCTCCCCATCCTCTACCTACTCCTCCCTCTTCATCCTCCTATCTACAGCTCCCTCCTCATCCTCCTGCCTGCACCCTCCTCATCCTCTTTCCTGCACCCTCATCCACCTGCCTACAGCCCCCTCCGAATCCTCCCACCTGAATCCTCCTCCTCCCTCTGCCTGCACCCTCCTCATCCTCCTACCTACAGCCCCTTCTTCATCCTCTAGCCTGAACCCTCTTCATCCTCCTACCTACAGCCTCTTCCTCATCCTCTCACCTGCACTCTCCTCATCCTCCTTCCTGCACCCTCCTCATCCCCATACCTACAGCCCCCTCCTCATCCTCCTTCCTGCACCCTCCTCATCCTCTACCTACAGCCCCCTCCTCATCCTCCTTCCTGCACCCTCCTCATCCCCATACCTACAGCCCCCTCCTCATCCTCCTTCCTGCACTCTCCTCATCCTCTACCTACCCCTCCCTCCTCATCCTCATGCCTGCCCCAGCTGGGCCGGGACCACCCCAGCCCCTTCCCGAGGTTCCCCCAGTGGCTGGGATGGACACCAGCGAGCAGAGCCAGATGCCAGCCCTAACCTGGGACCCCAGGCCTGTCCCTCACCCCCCTGCCCAGCTGCCCCCCGTGCCCCCATCCCTCATCCTGCTGCTCCCGGGGTGCCCGCTGTGCCCTCCTGCCCTGCCAGCTGCTCCAGCAGCCCCGGCCTCGTCAATCACTGTCGCCCTGAGCTGGCAGGTGCTTGGCTGCTCTGGATGACCTGGATCCCGGGAGGAACGAGGAGGGGGAGTGGGGAGGGGGCGGTGAGCAGAGGCAGCAGCTGGAGGGGCTGGGGGGAGCGTGGGGGGGGCTGTGCTCTGGTGGGAAGTTGAGGCAGGCTCAGGGAATGGCTCCTGTCGTTGCTGGGGGCTCCTCCTGGCATCGCTCACCCTGCAGAACGGCTCCATGCCGTTTCCTGCTTGGGAATGGTTCCCATCGGGAATGAAAGGGGGTCCTGTGAGCCCCATCAGAGAGGGGTGAGCCCCCCACGCCCCCTCCTCCGTGGCTGGGCGGGTCTCAGTGCGGGTTTTCCCTGCAGAGATGGAGCAGCACCACGGGGGGAGCCCAGGGATCTCCACACCCTCTGCCGAGCCAGGGATCTGATCCACCCCTGGGACCCCCCCCGATTTAGGCTGAGCCCCTAAATCTGCTCTGGTTGTGCTGCACCAGAGAGAGGAACCCTGGGCAGGACATGCAGCCCCGCCACGTCCGTGGGGAGGGGATTTGGGGTCTTTCAGCCCATCGGGGGGGCACAGTGTGGTGCACAGCTGCAGCATCCATCCCTGCACCCCCAGCCCGGCCAGCCCCCCGCTCCCCCCGGCTCTTTCCCAGCTCTGCCTTCGCCCTTATCTATATTTCAACGCAGCTTCAAAGCCGGGCGCCTTCTCCAGCCGGAGAGGGGGGGCAGGACCGGGATGGCGAGATAACGAGGGGGGGGCGGGAGAGGGGCGCCCCCAGCTGAGGGAGCTGCGATTTTGGCAGGGGGGTGGTGTCTGCACCCCAACTCTGCTCCGTCTCTGGCCTGGGACCCCTCACACCCCACTGTGACCCCTCAGCTGGGAGCCCCCCCAAGTCCTCCTGCCCCCCCCCGCGAGGGGCTGGGGGCTGCAGCCCACGGGGAGCACGCACGGCAGCGCATCCTGCCGAGCCCCCCCACCCACCACCGGGAAGGATTTCTGGAGGTTTCTGAGCTCTGCACTGAATTTCCATCTCAGCCAGGGCTGGGAGCCAAGGCCGGTCCCCAGCAGTGCCGCAGGTGCCTGTGCCCTTCCTCCGCTGCCTCAGTTTCCCTTTCCAATCCCCCTCTCCCTGCGGGGGTGAGGGGGGGTGTGATGTTCTTCATTGGGACAGGCTGTGATGGGAATCGCTGGAGGGACAGGGAGGGGACAGGGAAGGGACAGGGAAGGGACAGGGACGGGCAGGCAGTGGCAGCAGAGGGTGGCACACACTGGCAGCGCTCGCTGTGCTCCTGGGGGCTGCGGGACAGAGCCAGGGGCTGGGCACGGACAGAACAAACACCCCCCATCCCTGCAGGAACAGAGGTGCCCCATCCCCTGCGGGCGAGGGGCCAAATTGGCATCCCCCCAACCCCTCCAGTCCCTCGGCAGGAGCTGCTGGGGGGAGCGGGGGATGAAAGGGAATTGCAGAGCAGGGCAGCGGCTGCGATGCAGCCAGGGCGATCGATTGCGGCACCGGGAATGCGGGGGGACCCTCGCTGCCCGCAGCCCCCGCGGAGCCCCGGCGGGCCGGGGGGCTCGGAGCCTGCGGGGATGAGCAGGGCCAGGGGGGGCTTGGGCCACGGCAGCGCCGAGGGGAGCCAAGGTCACCCCCCTGCGCCCTGGCAGAGCTGTCGGCATTCAGGGCAGGTCCCGTACACCTCGCGTTAAATATTAATGCTCCTGCTGTGCCGTCGGGGTGCAGCCGCACGCCCGTGCTCCTGAACCTCCTGGATACGCGTGGCGAGTCCACGGGGGGGGGTCCCAGTGCCGCCCCCCTCCCACCAAAACCCGTGGCCCTGCCTGGCTCTGTGGCGTGAGGGGCTCTGCTGCCACGCAGGTTACCCGAGCTGGTTGTTTTTCACTGTCACATGCACCGCTGGGTCTGCACATCCCCGCTGCTCCCCTCCTCATCCTCATCCCCATCACGGTCCCCACAGTGTTATTTCGTGGTTTCGCTGCTCTCCAGCCCCTCGCGTGCCCTTCTGTAGCCGTGTGGGGCTGCCGTGTGTCCGCAGGCACCCCCCGTGAGCACACGGAGCCGGGCGGGGGTGAGGGAAGGGCTGGAGGCAGCTGCAGAGGGACCGGGAAGGCTCTCGGTGCCTTCGGCATCAATTTGGTTTGTCAGGCCCGGCAGTGATGGCCACTCACATCCCATTTGCTGTTGGGGCCAAGCGCCGTCAGCTGCTCCCCCGAGACCCTCGGTCACCTTGGTGGAGGGGAGGGGAGCAGCAGGGGGGGGGACAGGGGGGCCTGGCTGCCCCGGTGTGGGCTGGGATGAGCTCCAGCACCCTGAGAGAGGGGCTGGGAATGATGGCAGAACAGCCCTGCCAGCACTGGGGGGGAGCAGAGCACCACAACAGCCCCAGCAAAGGCCTCATCTCCACCACCAGCAGCCTGTCCCTGTCCCAGGCTTGTCCCCATCTCTACTGCCAACCTGCTTCCATTCCTACAGCCAGCCTGTGCCTGTCCCCATGGCCAGTCTTCTCCATGCCCACCACCAGCCTGTCTCTGTCCCTGCCACCACCCTGTCCCCATTACTATCACCATCCTGTCCCCGTTGTTACCACCATCCTTTCCTCCTTAATACCATCATCAGCCTGTCCCTGTCCCTACCATCACCTGTTCCCATTATTGCCACCACCTTGTCCCCGTCCCCTTTCCCATCCCTGTCCCCATCCCTATTCCCATTCTGTCCCCATCCCCATTCCCATCCCTGTCCCCATCTCTGTTCCCATCCCTGTTCCCATCCCTGTCCCCATTCCCATTCCCATCCCTGTCCCCACCCCCATTCCTATCCCTGTCCCCGTCCCCATTCCCATCCTGTCCCCATTCCCATCCTGTCCCCATCCCCATTCCCATCCTGTCCCCGTCCCCATCCCCATCCCCATCCCCATCCCCGTTCCCATCCCTGTCCCCATCCCTATTCCCATCCTGTCCCCATCCCCATTCCCATCCTGTCCCCATCTCTGTTCCCATCTCTGTCCCCATTCCCATTCCCATCCCTGTCCCCATTCCCATTCCCATCCCATCCCCATCCCCATTCCCATCCTGTCCCCATCCCCATTCCCATCCCCGTCCCCATCCCTGTTCCCATCCTGTCCCCATCCCCATTCCCATCCCCGTCCCCATCCCCACTCCCATCCTGTCCCCATCCCCGTTCCCATCCCTGTCCCCGTCCCCATTCCCATCCCTGTCCCCACACCTTTTTGGGTCCTCTGGCAGCACGGCCCCTGCCCCACTGCTCGGGGGTCTCCTGCTCACCCCACGGGCGCGGGGTCAACCCAGCCTCTCCCCTGTCACCCCGACGCCTTCGTTAGCGCCGGGAGATTAATTGGAGGTGGTGAGCGACAATCCCCGCGGGCCCGCTCCCCCCGGCACGCTCCGCCCGGGGCGCGGTGGCATTTCCAAAGGTTAGCAGCAAACAAGGTGCCTCTGACAGCTCCCATTTATCTCCCGGCGCCGCGCGGGTGCTAATGCGGCTCCGCGGGGCTGCGGGAGCGCCCGGCGAGCCCGAGCGGGTGAGGGAGCACGGAGAGCTGCGGGGTGGCTGTTCCCGAGGCTCCGGGTGAGCGTGGGTGACACAGGTGTGTGCCCTTGGGTGACACAGGTGTGTGCCCTTGGGTGACACAGGTGTGTGCCCGAATAATGCGGCGCTGTGGGGCGCGTGCATTGCTGCGCGTGCGGCTGGGTGGGCAAGGGCGGCTCTGCGTGGCCTGCGTGGGGATGAGAGCACGGAGGGGTGTGCGCGTGCACGGTGACACGCAGGGTGACACGCGTGTGGTGACACACACATGGTGACACATATGGCGACATGCATATAGTGACACACATGGTGACACACACAGGGTGACACACACATGGTGACACGCACGTGGTGACACACATATGGTGACACGCACGTGGTGACACACACAGTGA